TAAATATTAACACACTAGCAGTTTGGGAAATAATGATAAAAGGGCTACCACCCCAAGGAGCACATAGGGACCAAATCTTAGAGCTTTCAGGTAGCCATGTAGACTTTATTTAAGTAGCCAAGTGAATCGAAAATACAACTTTAGTTAGATTACTTTTAGTGAAGGAGTATCTAACCATTGTCTTAACTCATTTTCTAAGTTATCAGATTATCTTCTTCGTATTTCAAATTGGTATTCCTATATGCATGTTACATGGTAGTTTTGCACAGCTACAAGAAGTACAGAAAAAGCACCAACCAAGAGTCAAATGACAGGTTTAGTCTCAGCCTCGCCATTTATTAGCTATGTGATCTCAGACAATTCATTCCCTTGATCTTTCTGGGCTCCGTTTATTCATCAGTAATATAAGAGAGTTTGACTAGACAATTTCTAAGGTTTCTTCTAGTACTAACATTTTCCTGGTAACCCAATATCCAATCCATGTTAGTAGCTGTGCTCGCTTCCTTGGGCTGCTATAACCAAAAACCACAAATAGGGTGGCTTAGAACACCAGACTGGTTATCTAACAGTTCTGGAAGCTGGGAGTAGGAAATCAAAGTATTAGCAAGGCTGCTTCCTTCTGCAGGCTCTGAGGGAAAGGTCTGCTCCATGCCTCTGTCCTAGCTTCTCATGATGGTGATTTGCTGGCAATCTTTCAGGTTCCTCGGCTTGTATGAAGCATCACCTTCATCTCTGCCTTCATCTTCATATGGCATTTTCTCTCTGTGTGCCTGCTTTTCTGTTCAAATGTCCCCCGTTTATAAGGATACAAGTCATATTAAGTAGGTCCCACCTTAATAATCTCATCTTAACTCACTAATATTTGCAATAACTTTATTCACATTCTCCGGTACCAGAGATTAGGACTTAAACATATGAATTTTAAGGGGGGACACAATTTCACAGATGGAAACAAAACCCATCACAGATTTTGTTTCCAAGTAAGGTCCCATTTGGCTGCTACTGGAGACTGAGGTTTCCACATATTTTTGGGAGACACAATTTAACCCATAGTAACACCCATGGGTAGTAATTTAGTCTAGGAAAATTATTCCATAACACAACCCACCCCTAGTACCTTCTCAGTCCCTAAGTTGAATCTAGGGATCAATGTCCTTGTCTCCCAGAGCTACTCTGCCCATGTTCACCTAATACTGACCTGGGTTACTTGTTACCATGATCTCCTCATTGGTTGCCTCTCCCAGACATCATTACAATGACCACTTGGGCTTTCCATGCCCTTCAGACAATGTGCATTGGTCTACCTGTCCTGGAGGCTCAACCTGCCTCTTCTTTCTCCCATCATCACCCAACACACCTGTCCACATGCATATATGTGCACACCACACCACTCGTACCAGCAGGACTCTACACACGTGACAGATAGGACCAGTTCAGAGGCCCAAATGCTATAAATGTCTATCAGTGTAACATCGGGTGGATCTGCCTCAGCCATTCACGCAGCTACTTGAATTGTGAAAGGGTGCTTCAGCCCCATATTTCTTCCTAACAGTCCATCCAGTACAACTATGTAGAGTCAAGCAATGAATTTGTTTTTTCAAGTATTTTTAAGACATTGCTTGTTTGTGTTTTTGTTTTACCCTAACAGAGCAGGGGTAATGCTGACTCGGCTCTCTTCCTACCAAGTGAATTATAACATACTTATGAGTGACAGGATGAGTAAGGTAACGAAAGTTTCAGGAACACTCTAGATAGTGCTTTAAATGACATCTTTTTGGTGTAAACGTGAATCACAGTGAAAATCTAAATCTTTTCTTCCCACTACCCCCCATAAATTAGGATCAAAGAAAAATGTTACAATCAATAGTTATCAGTAAAATAGAAAAGAAAAAAATCTTATTTTCAATTGGGAAGAAAACTTAATTGTGCCCAACACTTCACTTGTACTTATAGGTTGGAAGTGGAACAACTTCATGTCACCAGCTATTTAATTCCATCCAATCTTGACCAAGTAGCATGTGGCATTGCTTCCAAATAAAACCATCATGCAGTATGGAATGAGGAAGATCTAATTTCCCAAAGAACAAAGATAATGTATTTTTGCATCATTGGAATGTCAAAGAGACTTTCTGCCATAACTAGGAAATAGATGGCATTTCTAAAACTTAAGTTGCTGTGTCACAATCATCACTTCCAGAATCCCATGGGGATGTCTACTTAAAACATGTTTTCTTCCCCTTGACATTTGAAAAAAAGTTTAAAAAGAGAAAACATCTCAAGACAGAAAAATATATAACACCTCAAAGGGAAGATTGGTGTATTTTAGGACTTTGACAGGATCCAGTTATCTGGTAACCAAAAGAAGACCCTCCAACCGATGAAGTGAGCCAAAATACTCAACATGTGGAGGTTTCGGCAGTCTGTGGGGAAAGCTTCAGCAGGTCATACTGCCATGCGGGCAGACCATCAGGAGTGGGTGGGATCCAGCCACTCAGGCTGACAGGTGGTTCACGACACAAGAGTCTGAGTCTTGCGGACTCCAGGGCGCAGAGGAGGTACTTATAGGAGAAAGGCAACCCCTTACATTTACAGGGGGAAAAAAATAGTACTAGGAAGATAACCAAAGACAGGTGCCCTGGCATAGGACAAAAAAAAAAAAAAAAAGGAAAGAAAAAACACAAGAGACCTATTTACAAGATATAGAACACAAAAGGCAAAGCCTGGGCAAAGGGCCAGGATGCCTGCCACTGAGCCTAATGAGGGTCAGCATGGATCATAAAAACCAAGGCTGTTAGGACAAAGCAGCTGGGAGTCAAGTGGCACCAGCCATAGGAGGAGGAAAGGCTCAGAAGCTGGGCTGTCAGAGCATCTGGTGGTTATTCATTCTGATGGCCAAGAACACAGTGCAGGGACCCAAGCCGAAACACATGGCCATCTCAGAACTCGACATGTACCGTCTTCAGTTTTCCTTCTTCATCTCCCATTGCTTCCTTCTCCTTTTCCTGCCTCCACATTATGTTTCTTTCTTACATTCTCCTTATCATTTATCTTCTTATATGTTTTTTTGTCTCTCTGTTCCATTTTTAAATATTTGATTTCTCTGTCCTGTTCCTCTTCCTTTCATTCCTCTCCTCCCCTCCTCCTCTTCGCCTCTCCACTTGCTTCCCTTCGGTCTGTCTGCCTGCCTCTCACCTTTCCCGCACTCCTTCCCTCATCTCCTTCCCTCTGTTACTTATCCTTCCTTATTTAAGCCTAGTTTCTCCTATTACCATCATATTAAAGGATGTGTTTTTCTTAATGTAATGTAACTATTCAATGAAACTTTAATATCTCATATTTTAACTTGTAGAGAAGATCTTTAGAATGTTTTATATTTATTTTTCATAAAACATAAAAGCAAACAAGTTATTTTCCTTTTCATGCACTGATTGTTGGGATATTTTTTTCCCCAAGAGAGTCAGTGATTCTCAATAGGAAAAAAAGAAAAAAGAAAAATAGTTTCTCCCTCCTTGTTTTTAAATTTCCTAAGTCATCATTTGAAAAAGCATCACTAACAATAAAATTCTTTGTACATTATTAAATTCTATCATCTCATTGATTTACTACCTCTTTGTTACACCAGAGATAGCGAAGATGAGAATCTGACCCACTGTTATAAATGGCAACAATTATATTCACTGCGGCTAGGTTCTTTGAACATCACAAAGGAAATAAGTGTCCAGCCCAATAATAGCAGTGGCCATAGAGGCCATAGTAATAAAATACAATCACTAGACCAATAATAAGTTCTCGATCTACATTGTTTCTCCAGCACTGACCAGCAGTTCATTTTAACACAATAAGACCTCATTTCCAAATGATGTAGGGCAGGTAGAATGTGATTACTGCACATCCTTTATTTGTTCACCCAGATCTCCATGTGTTTTCTGACCTCTCATTCTGAAATGGCTATTGAGGCTTATATTCTCTTTTATCAGCTTGGCATTAGCAAGCTGGAAAAAAAAAAAGAAAAACAAGCACAGACTTGACAAAGTTATTGTCTGCCATAAACACTTGCATCAATGAGGCTGAGTCTGAAATTCAATGGGGAAACAGAATAGCTCTGATGTTTCAAAGGGTAGAGGGCATACCATTGTTTATACTCAGTGTTCAAAAGCTTTGACAAGAGAGGCCTGTCAGACGTTATCAACATGTCCAGTTGGCACACAGATTGTGGACAAATTGTCCACTTAAGTTGCTGGTCTACAAGTCTCAACTGATGTATGTTTGCAAATCTTCATAGCAAAAGTCAGTCATTGTCATGGTCCCAAGCATACTGCTCAGGGGCCAGGGTCTTCACTGCTTAAAACTTATATGGCAACATATTCTGCAGGAGAAACAAACAAGAAAAAAAAAATATATATATATATATATGAATACACACACACACACACACACACACACAGAGTAAACCCTCATTTAACATTTTTGATAGGTTCTGCAACTTTACGTGAAATCAATTTTACCATAGGCTAACTGACATAAACAAGAGTTAAGTTTCTATAGCATCTCATCACCATTACTATATTGAAATTTGAGGACCTGCTATGTGTGTGAGATACTGATTTAGGCATAGTGGACCATACATTAACTTACATGATTATCTTGATAATATAAGAATTTGCTGACTGTGCTTGCTCTAGGGCAACCCTTTCTCTTTATTTTTTCTTTCCCCTTGATAGCCTCCATCTTCATTCTTTTCCAAGGGATCAGTCCTGAAGCGTCTTGGAATCTCTTATGTCACTGATAAAATATGTTTTATAAAATAAACTAACATATTTTAGCACTTAGATGCTATCTTATAACACAGGAAATATGAAAGAAGATTCTAATAAATGGAGAACAACAATGTTTTGGGAGGAAAAAACTATTACAAAAAAAATCAGTTGTTCCCAAATAAATACATAATGTGAGACAATTGCAATCAGTCACAAAGGTGTTTTATTTCTTCCCCTTTTTGAAACTTTACAAAATGATCTTAAGGTATATTTAGAAGAACACACAGGCAAGGATCACTAAGAATTTCTTTTTAATAGTGGTGAAAAGAAACTTTATTTTTATTGGTTTTTTAATCACTGTCATTTTCTAGTCAGAGGGGGAGATTTTTGATTCCCTATTGAAGATCAAAGAAACCTCTTCCCCCAATTATAGGGTTCCTAATAGGAAGTCACCCTTTGCTCTGAAACTTCCTAAAAAACGGTCCCTTTATCAATTCCCTAGGGGAATTCTTCACCAGGGCCTCCATTCTGGGCTGCTCTGAGAGGGTGGTGTGTTGCTTCAAAGTCACCTTGGAAGGCTGCACAATCAGGGCCTGTCAGGGGTGCAGCCTCACTCAGCGTAGGAAACACAGATCTACAGTACTGATCTGCCATTTATCACCAACACCATCTCTTACAGAAAATAGCAGGTCCTTGTCACCAGCCGTGAGGTTGGTGGAGGCTTGTGACTCTTCCGCAGGAACTCACAGGCCTAGGAATTCAAGAAATTTCTTTAGGCCTCTGCCTCCAACCATTTACATGTGCTTTTCCTTGTGTTTGGAACACTCCCTAACCTTTTCACCCAGGCTGCACATCGTCAGTTCTCTGCTTCAAAGCCATCACCTTGGGGAAGCCTGACTTGACAAGCGTGCTATTCCTGTGTGGGTGAGGGAGCCACCTTGTGCCCTGAGAGCCTGCAGTCCCCTGCTCAGAGTGCTTAGCATCCACTACTGTGGATGCTTAACGCCCAATGAGGGAAGACGCGTCTGCCACCGAATCTCCGATAAGAGTGCAGCACAGTAAACAATCATTGAATGAATAAATGGTGCAGGAGATTTCAAGTATTTGTTTTGTTTCATTTCATTTTCTTTCCAACTGCAGTCCCTATCTGTAAATAGTTTAATCTATAGAGATAAACATATGTCAACAATGATAATATCATGTGGTCAGCATATGTATGTGTTATTAATTGAGGCATATATAAGATAGAGTGGGAACATAAACTTGATTGGCTCTCTACATTCATTTCTATTAAAATAAATAATTAAGACTCATAATATGAACTGAATAGAAGTAGGGAAGATTAGGAAGATAAAACTCAAAAGCCTGTTCAGTTTCTTTTAGGTACCATGTGCTGTCAGGGTGTGAGTGCACGTCCTGATCACAATAATGGAGACTGCCTGGGTGCAGTGAGCTGTAGGAGCAGGTATATCACCACATTAAAAATGTTTCACTTTGCATTTTCTAAAACTTGCACATGCAAAGGGCAAATTATTGCTGCTTAGGAGTTCTCTCCTCATGCCAACCTACAGTTGGGTGATTAGATGTTGTGTTGAGAGGGGAATAAACTCCTTGAGGGTTACTTGGAATTTATCATTATGGAATTTATCAAATCTTTGTGAAAGCTTCTCTTGCTAGGCTTGCCCTGAGACATTGCTTGTCTCCCACAACATAGGAGCCAAACATGTTCTCCTTTTGATTCCAACACATCTCTCCGGGATCCTAGGGGCATGTTTCTGTGAGGGGACGAGAAAGAGGAGCATGATTAGGGAGGCTGAGTGTTAATGTGAGTTTAATTTCTTCACAATCTGCTATCTGCCTGGCACTGAACTGAAGTATGACATGCATATGAGGTGTGATCCAAAAATACAGTGAATGTTTAAATTAAAAAAAATATTACGGTAAAAGACACATTGTCATTAATCCCCCTCAAAATACTCCTCCTTGCTTGGAACACATTTATCCCTTCGGTCTTGCCACTTTCTGAAGCAGTTCTGGAAGTCCTCTTTCATGAGTGTCTTTATTTGCACTGTCGTGGCTGCCTCAATGTCCTGAATCAATTCAAAACATTTGCCTTTCATGGTGATTTTGACTTTGGGGAAGAGCCAGAAGTTGCACGGTGCCAGATCTGGTGAATAAGGTGAATGAGGACACAACATAATGCTTTTATTTGACAGAAATTGCCATACCAAAAGTGATGTGTGACATGGAGCCTTTTCCATTGTGATCACAAAATACAGTGAATGCTGCTGCCGAGTGCCATCCAACAGAAAAGCAGGGATCTTCAATACGGGAAGTGGCATGTCGAACCTTAGTAACAGTGTGTGATGAGTTTTAGCTTGTTCGGTGCAGTCAGTCAGATGTGAGCTACAGTTGAGAAAAGGTGTGTTTTAAAGTGTGCCATAAATCATCCTCCTTATGACAATGCTCTGCCATGTCACACATTGCTCCTGGTGCAGCAAGCTCTGTCAAATAAAAATATTACAGTGTGTCCTCATCCACCTTATTCACCAGATCTGGCACCGTGTGACTTCTGGCTCTTCTCCAAAGTCAAAATGATTCAGGATTTCAAGGCAGTCATGACAGTACAAAAGAGAATTTCCAAAACTGCTTCAGAAAGTGGCAAGAATGAAGGGATAAGTGTGTTTGAAGCAAGGGGAAGTAATTTGAGGGGGATCAATTGAAAGGTTCGCCAAGGAGTTAAAGTCTGAGTGTCATGTCCAAACCAAGCAGCTTTATTTGCCTGTCAAGGCTGAGCCCAAAACTGGCATCAGCCCCATGCAGGAGTTTGCAGGGGGTTCTTATAGGGTAAGCAATAGGGGAAGTAATTGCAAGCTTTTATGGGCAGTTATCATTGCAGAACAGGTACTTCTGCAGAAATTTTCCGTGGACCTTTACAGTTTTGCTATGTCTTGTTTCTTTCAGGAAACCTGTGGTCAGGTGTTCATTATTTTTACCCAAGAGGATGTCTGGCAGTTTTACCAGTGGGGTGGGGGGGTGTCGCCTCCCCTTGGTGCCCCTGGTAGCCCCTAACATTCCAGCCTTTGTTTGTTATATTTGTTAAGGAAAAGGGGTGCCATGTATTTCTTCTGGAGCTACTTCCTGCTGTGAGGGGACTGTGTTGGGGCTAAGGTGAGGGCTGGGTGTAGGGAGGTCCCCAGGCCCGGAGGGCAGGCGGCGATAGTCGGTGAGGAGCAGTATGTCTGTCACAGTACTGTTGGTGAGGGCCTGAAGGCAGTACTGGAGAAAGCGAGTTAAGAGGCATAGCAGGTAGGGGCCAAATGCTAAGGTTAAAAAGAGAAAGGTTAGAGGTCTAATTAAAGGGAAGAGCCAGGAGGCCCAATATGTGGTCAGCCAAGAGCCTCACCGGGTTTGTTGTCTGGATTTGTGTGTGTGTGATCCCTGAGTTTTTGCTGCATCTCTGACTAAGCCAGATTGATTGAGATAGAAACAGCACTGTTCATTAAGGAATAGGCAGAGTCCTCCCTTTTTGGCTGTTAGTAGGTCTAAACCCCTACGCTTTTGTAGGGTAACGGTGGCCAATGAGTTAGGTTGGTCCTGGAGATTGACTAGGGTGTGTGCTATTTTATCAAAGGAATTTTGGAGAGCCTCTGAGAGAGCTTGAAAATAAGTGAGTGAAGTCCCTAGGCAACCCCTGCTCCAAGACCTGCACCTGTGGTTATCCCGAGAGCGGCTAGTCGGGTTGTTAAGCTGGGGGCTATGGCTAGAGGGATAGATAAGGCTGTATAAGCTAAGGAGGACAGGGAAAGACAGGCCCAATAATTTGGGGTGAGCAAAAAGTTGGCACTGTGAAGTAGTACCTGAGAGAGGTTAAGGGAACGTTTTAAATGAGTGGCTGTTAAGAGGGAGTGGATGGGGAGTCCTTCACTCCCAGGTAGAGCGGAGAGCTTGTTGAAGAGCTCTGAAGGCCGGGATGATGTTGACAGTGGGATCCAAGGGTTTGGAAAGGGGGCCCTTTGTAGCCTGGTAGAGAGGGCGAGCTAAGAGACCAAAATTAGGGATCCAGATGCAGAGAAACCCTGCCAGTCCAAGGAAGGGGAGGATCTTACCTTTTGTGTTAGGAGGGGTGAGATCTCTAATGAGAGCGGTTCAATCTGCTCTGATGGTCCTCTGGGTGGGGGAGAGCTGAGTTTCCAAGTAAGTGACTGTTGGGTGGATAGTTGGGCTTTGGTGGGAGATACCCAGTATTCCCTAGAAGCCAAGAAATTTAGTAGGGAGGCAGTGTGTCAGAGGGATAGGGTATGTGAGGGACTACAGAGAAGTAGATCATCTACATATTGTAGAACTGTACTGGAGGCTAGATCGAGGGAGGCCAGATCTGAGGCAAGTGCTTGGCCAAAGAAGTGAGGGCTGTCGTGGAAACCCTGTGGGAGGATCGTCCAAGTAAGCTGTTTGGATTATAGGGTATCAGGGTCCGTCCAAGTGAATGCAAAAAGGTCCTGAGAGTCTGGGTGGAGAGGGATGGTAAAGAACGCATCCCTGAGGTCTATAACTGTGAAATGAGTGGTAGTAGAAGGGATGAGAGATAGGAGAGTATATGGGTTGGGAACTACAGGGTGAATGGGAAGTACTGTGGAGTTGATGACTCGGAATTCCTGGACTAATAGATATGTCCCATTGGGTTTCCATGCTGGCAGAATGGGGGGTATTGTAGGGAGAATGGGTTGGTCTTAGGAGGCCTTGGGCAAGGAGCTGTCAATAATAGGTTTGAGTCCCTTCTGATGGCGAAGGGAAATGGGGTATTGTGGCAGGTTTGGGAATTTAGAAGGTTCACAAAGCTGAATTCTAATGGGAGGGTGGTATTTGGCGACCGAAGGAGTCGACGTATCCCAAACGATGGTGTTGACCTCTTAAGGGGGCAGAGGAGGTTGGAGGGGAGATAAGGAGATGGTGGGATGAAGGAAGAGGAGTAAGGCTGGCTCTGGGAGTGGGAGATGGAAGGAGAGTGAGGCCTTAAACTTGGAAAGGAGGTCCCTTCCTAATATAGGAGTTGGACATCGGGGAAGGATCAGGAAGAGGTGTGAAAACAGAACATTAAAAAGGGTACATGACAGTAAGGGGGTTGAGAGAGGTTGAGATATTAGGCCATCAATGCCCACAACAGAGAACTGGGAGGGGTGGGTGGGGCCCTAAAATTCAGGCAGGGAAGAAACGGCGGCCCCTGTATGTATTAAAAAGGAGATCGGCTTACCTGCCTCTAGTAGCATTACCCTGGGCTCTGAGATGGTGATGGGCGATGGGGCTGGGGGCCCTGGCCACCTTCAGTCTTCAGCGGTGACTCCAAGTAAGCTCGACAGGGCAAGATGAGACTTGTCGTCCAAGAGGGGAAGGGATGCGTCTCTTCCCTGAGAAGGACAATCAACCCTCCAATGTCCCTTCTTACCACAAGAAGGTCAGGGCCTGGGTGGGGGCCATGGGCTGGGGCAATCGCTTGCCCAGTGGCCTTCTTTGCTGCACTTGAAAATGGTCCGGGGGGGGGGTGCCTTCTGCCGGCCCCTTGGCGATGGACCTTGTGCCCTGTTAAGAGTACCGCTTTGGAGCCCCCAATAGCCCCTGATATCTGCCGCCAACAGCTAATATTTTGACTGATCTCGGCGGCCCTTTTTAGTTTTTCCTGTTCCTCCCGATTGTTAAAGACCTTGAAGGCCAGGGCTAAAAGGTCCTGTTGGGGGGGTGCGGTTTGAGGGCCTTCCTCAGCCTTTTTGAGTTTTCTCTGGATGTCTGGGGCAGATTGTGAGATAAAATGGGTATTGAGAACAGTAATGCCCTCCCGAGATGAGGGATCTACCTGGGTATATTTTAGGAGGGCCTTTGTGAGGTGAGATAGAAATTGGGCCAGATTTTTATTGGCCTGTTGGGTGATCTCTTTTATTTTTTTAAAGTTAACCACCTTATGTGTGGTCTTTTGGAGACCCGCAATAAGGCAGGTGATCATATGGTTTCTGTGGGCCCTTCTGGGGTCATTGTGTTGGTAGTCCCAGTTGGGCTCCTCGTGGGGCACAGCCGTCGCCCCTACGAGTTTTTGGGGGTCCTGCCAATGGAGCTCATCTGTATGCCCTTGGGCAGCCAGCCAGACTCGCTCCTTCTCCTCTGGTAGGAGGATGGAGGAGATGATGATATAGAGATCATGTCAAGTAAGGTCATATGACTGGGTGAGGTATTTACATTTCTTAATGTAGGTGTTGGCGTCAGAGAAGGACCCCAGTCGTTTCTCTATCTGAGAGAGATCGGACAGGGAAAAGGAGACATAGACCCTGATGATTCCCTCAGTCCCAGCGACCTCCCTCAAGGGAAGAAGGGGAGCCGGGTGTGCCCGAGACCGAGGACAGGGAGAAAGAAGGTTTACAGAGGAACTTGGTTCCGGGTGGGGGCTCGGGGCCGAGGACCCAGAGGCCTTCGAGTCAGAGGCCTCGGGTGATGACGGGGAGAGCGGAGGATGAGGAGCATATGGAGGGAGTGCCGAAGGGGAGGAGTGGACACCCGGGTCGAAGGCTGAGGTGTCGTCCTCAGAGGGACGAGGGGGCTTTGAGTGGGCGTGGAGGATTTGGAAGGTGGAGCAGGACTGACAGAGAGAGAGGGTCGTGAGCGGAGAGCGAAGAAGGCCTGGACATAGGGGATCTCAGACCACTTTCCACTGCAGTGGCAGAAATTATCCAAATTGCGGAGGGTGTTAAAATCGCCATCAAGAATGATTATCCAATTTATATTGGTGAATTTAGGAGGGAGATAAGGGTCAGTGCCTATGGTGCTGGGAGTGAGGTGACAAAGAGGGTCGCTGAGATGGTCTGGAAGGACAAAGGCGTCCCTGTCACCAACGAGACCACCCCGAGAAATGTGCGACTGACCCCCAAAGTGGGCGTCCCCAAGTTGGGGGAGTCGAGGTTCTGGACCAAGTGTGGGTGGCCCCTGTCCTAGCGCTAGAACTTTGGACTGAACTGACTGAACTGAGTGGACAGGGGG